TATTAATTGTTTTTTTACTTGTATATGCATTTGTGTGTCTTAAAGGTTTATACTTAATTTTTATATGTTTTTCCAACAAGTCTTTTTATTTCTATGTGTTGCCTGCTTGTGCTGCCTCAGTTAAGCTAAAATTTTAAAGCTAAAACAAAGCCAAGGAGGAAAACATTACCTGCGCATTTATTTTTATCTAAACTTTAAGCTAAACTGCGGCAGCACAAGCATGCAACACATGGAAATAAAAAGACTTGTTGGACAAAATTATAAAAAATCATTCAGTTTAAGCATTCAAGAGACACAAATGCATGTACAAGTAAAAGGAAAAACTATGTAAAATATATATTAAACACATTAAAATTTAAATTATGTGTTAAAATATATAATTTATTGGAACTAAGCTGGAAAAATAAATATGAAGGTCAATTAAATTATAAAACATGAGGTTAAGTTGTCCTTTTTAATTTTATTTGGTGCATTTTAAATGTATTGGAACTAAGCTGGAAAAATAAATATGAAGGTCAATTAAATTATAAAACATGAGGTTAAGTTATCCTTTTTAATTTTATTTGGTGCATTTTAAATGTATTTATTTAGTTAAAGGTTCCTTTTTCTATTTCTGCTTTTATTTCTAATTGTCAGTGTTGGTCCCCCATACTGCAGAATTTGGAAGAGGTAGTTCAGTGACTGAATCAGGTGTGTTGGAGCAGGGAAAAATGTAAAACGTAGGGCTGCGGCCCTCAAGAACCATGATTGCCCACTCCCATGATCCCACTCCTGCCTTATGCTGTCATTCAAACATCAAAAACACACCCTGAGGTTTGTTTTGTCTCATTCTAGGATGTTTGAGTAATCATTGAATTTCCTGTGGTAGCCATGTGGAGCTACCAAAATCAGAATCAGAATCTGAATACATTATTGACTCCTGAGGAAAAGTACAGATTTAAAAAAAAATAAAAATAAAAATAAATAAATAAAAAGCCAGCAGTTCAATGTATGAGCAACAAGTACGTTCCTTAATAGTAATGTAACCAGGATTCCAACAGTAATTATTGATTAGCTCAGCGAGCCCCCCTCCTCTTACAGCTCTCTGGGCGTCTCTGGTTGGCTAACGCTGCCTATTTTGTTGGCCTGTGATCTCATGACCTCACATTGTCCATGATGAAAGAGGGGAGACACGGCTTCTATCCAGTTTTCTGGAGTGTGCCGAAGCAGTCAACCAACTGGGGAGAGATAATAGTGTTACTGTTAAATGGGTACCAGGACAT